TCTCTCTCTCTCTCTCTCTCTCTCTCTCTCTCTCTCTCTCTCTCTCTCTCTCTCTCTCTCTCTCTCTCTCAAGAGCAGTAACGGAGAGGTTTCTTCACCCGTCCATTAAAGGATCTGCATGCGCAAAAAGGACGCCAGAGAAAAGAAAAGCTACCTCACTCAACCATATAACTTCTATCCCCGCCCTCGACATCCTTTCCTCCTTCGATTACCACAGTCATCATGGCTATCCTCCCTATCATCATCATCCTCATCATTATCTAATCATCATCCTCATCATCATCATCATCATCATCATTATGAACATTATCACAACATTATCATTAACATTGTCAGCATCGCAATCGTCATCAGACCGTGGCCTTGGGCATCATTCCAATCATCATCAACACTTTTCATGCCCATCCTCTAATAGTCGCTGACAGGCACTAAAACTCACTGACAGGCACTGATAGCCATCACGCGATTTTGTGCTATCGACCTCGGCCTCAACTCTTCCTCCCCCTCATGGAAACTCCCCGGAACATTTTTTCAGCCATGGGAGGGCACTTCCAAGCAATCGCGCGCCGAAATTGAACCACGCATACTTACACTAATTTGTGGACGCCTCGGGCATAAGGCCCCGCTCCACAACTCTCGACACATGCACAAAAGACAAAAATTATGGCGGTGGATCTTTCCATGTTCTAGGGGAAGGCTCTCGTTTTGCACATCTCTAGAGTAGTGGCGCAAGGGCCACAGTGCTCAAGCAGGAATACTCTCTCTCTCTCTCTCTCTCTCTCTCTCTCTCTCTCTCTCTCTCTCTCTCTCTCTCTCTCTCTCTTCCCCCCGCGCGCGCACGCGCATCACAACATGGACAGCTTTGGTTTTGGCTCCGCTCGCACGCGCGTGCCTCTCGCGCGCACTACCAGCGGAGCAAAAAACCAAAAACGTCCAAATGGTGACTGATCAGGGTTTAGGTACGAAACCCTCCGGTTTACGGTCCTGTTAATGTTCCAAATCTCATGTTTTTCTCTCGAACTTTTCCGGGTATGAGGAGCGCGAGGGGGGAAGGAGGGGGCAGGGAGCTGTCTCTTATACACATCTAGATGTGTATAAGAG